CTTCTCTGGGCAACCTGTCCTAGTGCCTCACCACCCTCTGAGTGAAAAATTTCTTCCTTATATCTAATATAAATCTGCCTTCTTTCAGTTTAAATGCATTGCTCTTTGTCCTGTCACTCCATGCCCTTGTAAAAAGTCCCTCTCCAGCTTTGTCATCTTGTCATCCCTTGTCATCTTTGTCGTCTTGTCCTGCTCCTCCTTTGAGTTGCTGCTGGGTTTGCCTCATTCCTCAGTGAGCTCAGTCAGCTCGAAAATACCAACAAAAAGCCCTGCATTCCTACGGTTAGCTCTGTGCTGGCTTAACGACTTGCCTTGGCTCATTAAAGATGTTCACAGACCATGTGAAACAGCAGCAGCAGCATGTGGCATAGCCGAGACCACCTTTTTAGGTGGTGGAGCTGGATTGCTAGATCGGCTCAGTTTTTCCTAAAACCTCACCGCTGAGGCTGTTGGAGTTGGCTCGCTCCTCCTGGTGAGAACACCAAGAACGATATGTATTTTCTTGAATGTGTTTCACGTTGTATTTGTGTTTAAAGGAGAACTGAGCTGGGAATGATGTTTCTCCTGAGCGGAAGAGCAGTCTTTCCCCCCATCGCTATCACAGAGGGCAAGATGAATGTTTTGATGACTTTGGCATCGCTCAAGAATACTTAAAAACCATTTGTTTTTCAGCAGGTCCTTTGACAGAAGCGCAGGCACTCAGCATTCAGGCCACGGCGTCTTATTACTGTTGTCTGTATCCTCCAAGGTCAGATTGAATCCTTGCCTCTAACCATTAAAAAAAAAAAAAAAAAAGGGAAAGCGGAGGTGCTGAGGAAGAAATAGAGGAAGATGTACATAAACGTCAACTGCAGCTTGTTTGACTGTTGGCTTTATCTATTTGGAAGCCCATGGAGCTCCCAGCCTTTCGGTCGTACGTGCTGCTTTTCTGTTTGTTAACTTTGGCGCTGTGGCTATGTTTCAATAAAAAGGAAAGCAACCTGAAATCTCGGAATTTCTGTAATTTGCAGTGCTGTGTCGTCCCGTAGACTTCCAAAACACGAGTGCTGTAACGTTCTCCCACCTGCTAGGCGAGGTTAATGGATGTAGCAGTAGGGACCCTTTTGATATCTTCTGAATTCACCACAAGCACCAAACTCCAGTATTCTGCGTCACGTCGCGTCTTCTCTGTTGTACTTCTCCAGTTTCATAAGTTAATGAGACTTTATTTTTCCCTCCTTCACAATTCTATTCTAGGAGCGTGTCCTGTTCAAAATATCGTTTTCAATTTTACTTTTTCTCATCCCTAACATGAAATAGGGTTGAAAAGAAAGGCAGCACTCATGTCCATTGGGTTACTTTATGCAATAGTGGAGAAAGGCAAAAATAGAACATGTAAATAATCCTGAATTGTTAGGAGGGAAAGAAAAATTGTAGGAACAATGTTTTCTGTGTTTTTTCATGTTTTCTCAAGTGTTTAGATACCCAAAATGCTCCAAATTCTGTTACGAAAATGCCATACTTGACGTGTTCTTCAGTACGTTAGCAGTTCTTCAGTTAACAAGTTTAATTAGGAGTACTAATATTATGTATAAGATTAGAAATTATTTGTGGCTAATAGTTTGGCATCTGTGTCTCTAAAATAACGGTAACTTCCAGCACAAGTGAAAGAAGTTGTGTTGTGATCATTGATCTGTAAATCTGTTTATTACAGGTAAGTGAGAGGAGTTACTCAAATTTATTTCTTGCTACATTAATGAAAAAAGAATCTACAGAATTTCTCATTGGTTTGTTGATACTGATTTTTCTTAGCGATATGTGAAATTCAAGTACTTTTCAATGAGTTCAAACCACTTCTAAATCAAAAGAGTGGAGGCTTAAATAACTTCAGATATTGCTGCACTTGCCAGCTTAAGGTAAACTTGTTTCAAAATAAGAAGTTGACTGGGAGTCGGCCTGACCTATTTTTGTCCAAAATTATTCTCTTGAAATTATTCTCAAATTTCTTTTCTCTTGGAGCACAAACTCAGGTACTAATGCAAACCAATTTCCAGTATATAATCATCCCTATTTTTTTGTCAAAATTTGTATCAGTCACCGGCTGTAGTTTAACTCCAGAAGTATTTTGAGTTTGAAATACCAACTGTTACTGAAATGTCAATCAGGTTCAAATTACTTTTCCTTTACATGAAATATTTTGTGCCCGAGTACTTTGCTGTGACCTTCTTTGAAATACCTACGTACTGATTTCAAAACTATCACGCTTTTTAGGAGATGTTGGGTAGTTAGAGGTAGCCAAATTTTCTTCTTGGCTTCATATTTTATGCTAACAGGATGATAAAGAAAGTAAAGCTCTTAATTACACATTTTTATCAGTCCGTGTAGCCAGCTATTTTTATTCATCTGGAAAGCAGCCATATTTTTTTGATACTTCAAATTGTGTCGTGTTAGCAAAAGCGTGATAGACGCTTTTTCAGGTAACTTTTCAGATCAGACAACCACAAGCTTTGTAATACTGCCTGGAATGAACTTAATTAATTTTCTGATCTGTTTGGATCTTAACTGTTTAATGCTACATTATTCCTGAGAACATAGTGTAAAACATCTCTAAAGGGCATGTATGTTATGAAAATGGCAATTTGACTTTGCAGCTGAGCTGAGGTTCTGCTCAGTACCTGGAGGAGGTTCTCCCCATCCCCAGCACGAGATACAGAGTGTTTTCCTGCAGTTACACTGCTTATTCCTTTGGTACAAAATTAGTTTTTTGAGAATGGATAAATGAATCTCCTACTGTCATTTAAACTTAATTAAAAATCCATACCACTAAGAAATTTGTGCCATATTTTTCCTGTCTCCAGAATGAACAGTCTACTTTTAACAGCTATTTCTAACCAAACTTTCTATGTAACTGAATTAATTAAGTCCTAGGAACAGATTATATTAGGGGAAATTAAGCTCTAAGTAAGCAAACCATTAACAATTATGATACTAAATTGCCTGTGACACAGATTGGTCAGGTTTAATAGCATAAAGTGTTTTCAGCCTGTGAGAAGTAAATTGCAGAAACCAACCTGGGCTTTTTGTTTAATCCGTGCGTGAGGTACAGATCCTCAGTTGGTCTTTGCTAGAGAAGAGCTCCAACAGGCAGGCAAAAGAACCACCACCAGTAAAGCATTTGTGGTGCTTCTGTGTGAAACAAACCCAAATTTTCCTTCTTTGCTTTATTTGTTTCCTCCACTTGTATCACCAACAAATGAGAAGCCCTTCTCTGGGAACAGTTTAAAGATGAGTTCGCAGTCTCATTAATCTTTCATAGAATCTGTCCTTTTTAAAATTAGCAAGTACTTGTTTCTTCTTCTAATTGGAGCAAGCTTTGGTTTCCATCACAGAAACTGATCCTAATGATCATCTGCAGAGGACTGGCCCGTAGATGATTTCCTCGTGCTTGTAATTTTCTGCAAAAGGATTTTTAAATACAAGCTGTTGATACCTAATAAAGACTTTGTTTTAAAATGCATCTTTTATAGTCTGTCAACATCATAGTTGTTCTCAGACCATATACTGGATGCATTACATGTTTGTATTTCGGGATGTGATATTTTAGGAAGAGAATTCTTTGCCTTAAAGAAATGCCAGAATAGTTACACGAATATAAAACCACCTCAGTTACCATGCGCTGAATTTGAAAATAAAAAGTGAAATCATGCTCTCTCTCTTTTTCTCATCAGAAAGCTATTGGGAAGCACTTTTTAAGGGAAAAATCTGCAAGAAACCGTGTGTTTTCTTGTCTTTTGTAGGCAGTAATATTGAGGTCACAAGCATCTGGTCTGCAGGTTTCGAGTTAGCTTTCCAGCGAAACAGAAGTTACGTGCTGTAAAGGAGCTTTCAACTTAAAAGTATTTCAATATATTTATAAGAATATTATTTTGGTCAGCTTCTGTACCAAAATACAATGAATGAAGCCAATATGATAATAGAAGGTGTTCTTGAGCAACAGAAATCCAAGCACTAATTCATTTTGCATATATTCATGGTTTTTGGAATGTGACTGTTGCTGGGAGGAGAGATGTGTGTTTATGCTAATGGTACCATAACATGCAGCTTATTAAGGAGAAGAAAAAAAAACCCCACACAATAAATAACGCCTTAAGTGATTTCAATATCCACAGAAAGCTTTTGTAAATGCAGATTTTAGTTGAGTTTTGAAATCAGTTGGTTACTTCATGAAAGAGTTAATATCCTGTTGTGGTGCCGAGATTGATAGCCAGAGGAAATAGGAGGTACCTGGAAAGAACTTCTGATTCCTAATATTGCAGAAGTTGCCTTGCTGTTGGCTTGCCTCCCCTCTGCTTTGTTATTTTTAACCAGGCTCCCTAATCTTTTCTTTTGCCTCTAACCACCTCCCAATTTCCTGTTCGCTTCTTCCTTCTGTTTTTTCGCCAAAAATATTTGGTTGTTTTTCACTTTTCTTTGCAGTTTTGAGTGGATTGCAGGAAAGTGAGTTAAGATGAATGCCATAGCTGTTTTCACAGTATCTATTATCTTCTGTGTTTCATGCCTTTTTGCTGCTCTTGCTGTAAGTTGCTTACTCAAGGAGATTTTGATAGAAGAATATTGTTTGAATGGGAGCATGTGTTTTGAACTTTACAATGTTGTACTTTGGATTGCTGTGCATACAATAATTGAAAAGGCTCAACTTTAGCTCTTTAAAACTAATTTTTCGAACTACTGTTTTCTCCAAGGGTAATTAATGTGCATTGAAGACTATTCCTTGAGCACTGCTGGGAGAGAGAGAAATGTTACTTGTTCAGGTTGATGTTTTGGATATATGATTTCAAAATAATGCGAAGTTATAGTTTGTTTTCTTTTCCCTCAGAATATTTCAGTGCTTTTTCAAAACAGTGTTCAAAAATGTTAATTGATGCATTTCATTCTAATTTTTTGATCCCAGCAGCAATGCATCTTAAATACGAATTTTCTTTTTCAGTAAATAATAGAAAACATTTTCTTTTCTCTTGCAGATTGCATTCTCACAACACAGCAACTTTATGGACCTGGTACAGTTCTTTGTGACGTTTTTCAGGTACTTCTAATTTAAGACAGCTAAATGTTTCTTCTTTAGGAAAGATCTTTTGGTTTTGTTTTTCAGTATAGAGTTTGGTTTGGTTTTGTGGGTTTTTTTTGTGTTTTTTTTTTCATTTGTTTGTTTTTTAATTAAGCATCCTGCTTACATCACATCCTAGATAATGGAAATCCTTACTATGTTTAAAATATTTAATTAGGAAATATAGTAAGAAAAAAATCCTTACTATGTTTAAAATATTTAATTAGAAATATAGTAGGAAAGTTGTCTGCCCATCTTTGTAAATGCATCTTGTCCTGTGCATGCAGGGAAAGGAGGGTTGGGGGTGAGGGGAGGCTTTTTGAAATGGAGAAGTTACTTTTAAAATGGTGTAGAAGGCATCTTCTGAGTTACCACTTCGTGCAAATAGTGTATAATTTAGATATTCACACATCGTCAGACACAAATCGTAAATTAAGGAAGTGATTTTGCAAAGAGTTAAGTGTGGACTAATTTCAAACTCTTTCAGTAGTACATTTGGTTTTAAACTGAACTCTGAAAATACGTCAAGTTAAACAAGAACATACGTTTCAACGCAATTGAAGCCAAATACCTTTCTGTCCTTCATGAACTGCTTTGTGAATTTATTTCAGTGTGAAGTGAACTGGTGATTCCCTAAGAGCTGGAACCAACAGAAGCAATTTCCATACTTGTTTCCTCTTCCAAACAAGAATAGCCCTAACAGAGAGGTTAAATGTCTCCCATCTCTTTAAGTTCCAAAATCTAATATTAGTGTTAGCCTCTATTTTAGGAGCTGTTAATACTCCGCAAATGTAAACCAATACTTGATCAATAAGGAAAACTCCCACAGGAGGGATATACATGGTATAAACAGTACTCCAGATCTTACAACCTGTTTTAAAGTAAGCAATATTGTGCCCATTTTAAAATGAGCAGTGGGAATAATATCTTGCTTTAGAATCTATGCTAAATTTAGTTAAAACAAGGAGCTCCAGATGGGTCCTTCAGACAAGTGGTTTATATCATTTTATTTATTTTTTTTTAGCATGTAGCTTTAACAGAGTGGATTGTGCTTTAATACAATCCCAGGTATACACCACCTTGTGTCCATCAATAACGGAGTGTTTACTTGTGACTCAGACTTCAGCGTTTGTTCTGCCTTGTGTCCGTCACAGTCAACGTCTTCCCTAAAAATCTTCGTGGCAGGGAAATCACTTACAAGGAGAACTAACAGGGAAGCAGTTGGTTCCTCAGTTCCTTTTTAAAGGCTCGTCATCAATTTATACTTTACAAACCACCCATTAGTTCTTCACAGACCCAGATCCACCTGTATATGAGAGTTTGAAACTCTTCAATATGAGTAATTCCTCCAATTCCAATATTGGAAGAGAACCACAGTTTGAAGCAGAAGATATATGTGTTAAGTATCTCAGGGAGTGTACACAGTTGAAAATACATGTCCAGAAGTTAGGTAGATTGAAGATAGCCAGCAGTGATTTTTTTCCCTTCCCTCCCTCACTGCTATCACATGGATCTCCTTGAAGTAATGTTGCAATATTATTTAACATCCTAACATGCCAGAAGAATAAGAACGTCTGTATTAGGGAGCAGACAGTTTATTGGTGTTTTCCAACCAAGCATTTATAATGCATTAAAAATTCTTCCATTCTTTAACTGTAACTCCTGCTGAGTTCCTCTCCTAGTATTTTATTTTACAGTCACTATAACTCGCTAAATAACCAGCATGATTCATCTCTGCTGCTTGTAGGGGAAACTATTGAAACACTTGCATTTTTAATGCTCTAGGGTGCGTTTCATAATTACAGTTGAATCCAAGTTAGACTATAAATAAGTAATATCTGATAGTGTTAATGAGAAAGGGTTGGCTGAAAATTTGCACACTAAGCGTAGAGGCAATGAAAATGCTTTCTGCAAAGCCTAAAGATGGTTGGTAAAACCACCTTTTGAGATATAGGCCACCTCTAAGTTGAAAACTGAGATACATCTCAGTGTAATGGATACAAAAAAGAGACTTTGTTCTGCAAAATGGATGTTTAGATTGACTTTCTCTTACCACATTCAAGAGTCTTGCTTCATTTTGCTATTCCACGGGTAATTTCGGGAATTTTTCTGTGCTGGTGATGTTGTAGCACATTTCCATCTTCTAGAAGCCACTCTCTCCACTTCATTGTAACCCCATCCTGAACACGCTCTTCTGCAGTGCTACTGGAAGGAGCAGCTGGGCATTGAGGTGCATGGGCAACCGTGCAGGGAAACGGAGGGTTGAGGTTCTCAGTTTCATTACTGACATTTGTCATGATTTAGGTCAAGTAAGTCCCTCCAACCGGCATTGGGAGTGCAAGCTGGATTGCCAAACTCCAGTGCTGCTTAATTTATGGGGTATCAGAAGCACTGGCTGGACCAACTCTGAGGCACACAATGTTACAGAGAAGGCAGGAACCTGACTGTGCATTTGAACAACATCAGGCACTGTGGAGCAGGGCAAAATGTGACTTGTTTTCCGTTTCATTTGAGAGAGCTGGGCCACTTTGGGTGAGAGGGGGTGTGCCTCACGTTTAGAGGTGCTGTTACACTCCTGGAGCTCCTTCTGGAGTTGGTGTTGAGCACAAAGTCAGGTGTGTGGCTGTACATTACCGTTATTTTATTTTGCGACACGTTAACATTTTATTTTAAGCAAAGAAAATGTCAGTGGATAAAGGTTGGGTAGAACAGTGAAGTTACGGGGTCTTTAATATTGCATTATAATTGGCGCCGCAGGAGAAATGATATTCTAACCGTGGTTAACCTTTGCAAAGCTAAATGAATTGCAAGCAAACTGTGTTTTTCCTGTTTCCTCCTCTGCTTTTCATAAAATAGCTCTTTAATTTACAGATCTTGCTGTTGTCTTTCAGCAGATATGTTGAGCTATTTTGGCAGTCTCTGGTAAACATTTTTATTAGTATCTGTGCTTCCTTGTCTTCCAGAAAGTCTTGTGTGTCACCACACCTATCTATGTAGTATGTGCTTCTCACCAGTGTACTTTTGCAAACAGGTGTGAAAATATTTATTATTTTGAATAATTGACCTTCTAGACTCATTGCTCACCAATGACACAGTTGGCTGTAGAGCAGTCGAGGATCACGCTGGTAGCTGTGCAACTTGTCAGGAGGAGACCTCTTGCTCCAAAACTCGGAGGGTGGCAGTGAGGTCACAGCACATTGCCGCTGCCATTCCCTTTCCAAGTGCAGCAGCCCTCAGAAACTGAAAACGAGAAGATGGAGATATTGACCAACAGACTTGCCTAAAAGATCAGAAGTGTGAAGTGAACGAAACTGAAGCCAAAGGGTCCTGCCAGAGAAGCTGTTAAGCCCTAGAGGGTATAAAAGGTGCTATAAACCAGGTTTGCTGTCTCAAGGAAAGAAACCAGATGTGGTGAGGACCTCACAGCCAGCATCCCTTGTCCTCTGTGTGGGACACAAGTGATGTTGGCCAGACCAGCTGGCCAATACATTTGGCATTTGTGGGTGTGAGAGTGTGAATGGGTATAATTGATTTTTCTCTGAGATTTTGTTAAATATAATCACCTTCAGCCTGGAGAAGAGAAGGCTCCGGGGAGACCTTGCTGCAGCCTTTCAATACTTAAAGAGGGCTTGTAAAAAAGGTGGAGACAGACTTTTTCGTAGGGCCTGTTGTGATAGGACAAGGGGTAATGGTTTTAAACTAAAAGAGTGTAGATTCAGGCTACATTTACAGAAAGAAATTTTTTGTACTGAGGATGGTGAAACACTGGAAGAGGTTGTGCAGAGAGGTGGTAGATGCCCCATCCCTGGCAACATTCAAGGCCAGGTTGGACAGAGCTCTGAGCAACCTGATCTAGTTGAAGATGCTCCTGGTTACTGCAGGAAAATTGGGCTAGATGACCTTTAAACATCCCTTCCAACCCAAATTATTGTATGATTCTATTTGCTGTTGTCATCCTGAGCTTTGTTACATTGATTTACCATAGACCTCTGATATCTTCTACTGCACTTCTGTTCTGTGTCCTCACATGCACAGTTCACCCCATTTCTTGGCTGCTGTATGTCTCATCTTTTGTATCTGCCTTTGAAGTGTCTTTCTGGGGATGTCTCTCTAGTCCCATCATAGTCTTACAACGATTATTAGAGAAATGGGTGTTTACATCATGAATAGAACAGAAGTTGCAAGTTTTGTCTTTTCATGGTGGTACATGAAACCTCGTGTGCTAAGGTCTGAATAGCAAATAGTTGACTATTTTACTTTGGTCCAGATAATTGGACTTGTTCCTCAGAAAAACTTCAGTGGAAGCAGTATTTGTCTCCATAGAAGTCAGGCAAATGGTTCAATGTGCTGTATATTGTTTTTCCTGGCTGTAAACATTTGCCCAGTGTTTCTATTAAGTGGGAATGGCCTGTTGCAATAATTCAAATGTGGAATTGCGCTGCAGATATTTTATTTACCCTTTTTGCTTATTAAGTAATTTCTTACTGCAGCAGAAATGGCATTACTAAGTATGTGCCTAAAATACAGTCTGAATCACTTTTTTTTTTTCCCGAGGAAAAGGAAGAGCTTGGGAATATCTTCATGTAAACTTTTTCATCTTGTTAGGAATAGCAGCATAGTTCAGGATCCATGACTTCCTTCTTTCCATGTCGTCCTCATCACTCTTTACTTTGTCCTCTACAATAGTCACATGCAAACCAGAGCAGTGAAGCCGTTTGGTCTCTCCTCCATTAATTAGTCCCATCATTATCTATGCCCATTTGTGCTTTTGGCCTTTACAGTCTCCTGTGACAACGTAATGGTTTGAGGTGTGTTTAAAACTTTATTGAGTGGGATTTCATTTATAACCTTCATTAAAGTTTCTGTGTGTGTTGTCAAAGGTCCTCTTCTTGCCCGTGCAGGTGATGGACTCAAAAGAGCAGTTCAGTTACCAGACATAGGTGTCCACTTTAGGGTGAGCCACATAGCTCTCCATGGAT